TTTTTTTTTTAAGAGCTGGGAGCTGGGTGGGCAGGACAACTATGGGTGGGACTGGGAGAGCAGGCGGGGATCAGGGGACTCATAGCAGAACCCCTCATGCAGCATGGGGCAGTGGTGGGTAGCAGGGATCACCCCCATGCCTGAGAGCTGGGGCCAGGTGGGGCAGCCATTGACGGGGCTGGGAGAGCAGGCGGGGGATGGGGTCTGTCTGATTTGGAGATTTGGCCAATTTGGCAGCAGACAAATCTCTGTGTCAGATTTGGCCGAATTGGCTCGGGACAGTGATTTGAATCACCAAATCGAATCAGTGTCCCCTGAATCAGCCGAATCCGAAGCGAATACTAGCTGCCTCACACAGGCCTACTGTGCTTCAAAGCATCTCAGCACAGCTAATCTGCTCCAGGGGCAAAACAGACATCACTCATTGATGCTGAGGGACAACAAATGATGTACTCTCCCAAAGTTTAAGGGGACTGGTCCCGTGCACCTCAGGAATCCCCCCAAAGGATCAAGCCCCTTAAGTCTTGGAAGCCTTCCAGGCTTTCCCTGCTTATGGAGACATGCCCCTGGGATGTCTGGGGCATGTCTGTAAGCAGGGAACAGGGCCATCCTTTGTGGGGTCGAATTGGGGCTACCGTCCTGGATCCAGTGCTTTGGGGGCCCTGCACAGCCAGGTGGAGCAGCCACAGCTCTGCCCCTCACAGTGTTAAAGGGGCCTCACACTGGCTAATTTTCCCTGGGCCCTGCACTTCCCTATGGTTGTCTCTGGCAGGGAAGGCCTGGATGTACTTGTTTACCAAGACATATCCCTGGGATTTCTGTCACAAAGGTGATGAAAGGTGATGTGCGTTTCCACCTATTGATTTCAATTTCAGCAATAAACCAGTGTATGAAAAAGATCTTTGACTTCTTGCAAATGCATTATGAATTCTCCTGTTTTAGATGCAATTTACTTTTAATATTTTGGTAAAGGATATATCTTTAAATAACTGAAAATACAATACCATTTTTTTAAATGAGGCTTTTCTTCCACATTTTCATGGAAGCCATCTTCAAGCAAACATCACCTTTTCATATTTTTCCTATCCTGTAAACATAATACAAAGACTTCATAAAATACTCATTGCTTTTCCCAGTGAGTATTTTGCATTTGCATTCCCCTTTCAAATTATATTTCCAAGGGAGTTTAGCAAATAACTCACCAAAACACTTCCCGTGATTTCTCCTGAGGGAAGATGCAGCTCTGAATGTATTATCTGTACACATCTATTTCAGTTTTTCTCTTTAGGGAACTAAAACTGAACAGACCATTTTGAAGGGGACCTTGATGACTGAGAATGTTGGTAAATCCATAATTTACTTGGCTGAATTAGTTCTTTAAATCTCAACAGTTGAAGAGTGACAGATCTATAAAACCAACATGAAGCATTCAAAAGAAGTCAGTCTATTATGAGAATGCAAGCATTTTAAAAAAAGAAAATCTAAATGGGATAAACTATTTAGGTACATTCACACACAATCCCTGTTCATTTCAAATAGCAGCTGCACACACATTTAAGGAGATTTTAGCAAGAATTGTATTCACAAGATATTACTGCATTTTTCTCACCATCAGTACATAAGGCATTTGTACATGTACAAAGGTGGAAGGCGCTTTAATTAGGGCGGCTCTCAGAGAGCCACTCTAATTAAAGCGCCTGCAGCATCTTGTATATCAGCGTCCCCATGCTTCAAAAATGGTGGCAGGGGCACTTTAACTAAAGTCCATCAAACAAGTTTTAGCTAAACTACCCCCACCACCGTTTAGAAGTGCAGGGGTGCTGATACATGAGATGTGGAGGCTGCTGGACTGCACTAATTAGCACACTCCAGCAGATTTGATTAATTAAGTCTGCTCCAAGACACTGTAATTACAGCATGTCAGAGCAGCCTCCCTGCATGTCTCCAGGCACCCTGTGTTTAAGAGAGAACTGGAGAGGGGAAAGGGGAAACCACACCACCCACACCCACACATGCCCACAGGAAACAATCCTATGCACCAGTACAAGCTGGGGGCTGACTGGCTGGGCAGCAGCTCTGCAGAAAAAGACCTGGGGGTTACAGTGGACAATAAGCTGAATATGAGCCAGCAGTGTGCCCTTGTTGCCAAGAAGACTAACAGCATACTGGGCTGCATTGGTAGGTGTGTTGGCAGCAGATCAAGGGAAGTGATTATTTCCCTCTATTCCATACTGGTGAGGCCACATCCGGAGAATTGTGTTCAGTTTTGGGTCCCCCACTATAGAAAGGATGTGGACAAATTGGAGAGAGTACAGTGGAGTGCAACAAAAGGGTGAGGGGGCTGGGGGACATGACTTATGATGCAAGACTGAGGGAACTGGGCTTATTTATTCTAAAGAAGAGAAGACAGAGGAGATTTAATCGCAGCCTACAAGTACCTGAAGTGGGGTGTGAAAGAGGATGGAGCTAGCTTGTTCTCACTGGTGGCAGATGACAGAACAAGGAGCAATGATCTCAAGTTGAAGCAAGGGAAGTTTAGGTTAGATATTAGGAAGAATTTTCTCACTAGGAGGGTAGTAAAACACTGGAACAGGTTACCCAGAGACATGGTGAAAGCTCCATCTTTGGAGGTTTACAAAACCCAACTAGACAAAGCTTTGGCTGGGGTGATGTAGTTGGGGATGGTCCTGCTGTGAGCAGGGGATTGGACTAGATGATTTCCTGAGGTCCCTTCCAACCCTAACATTCTATGATTCTATAGAACAGAAGGATTTTCCGTGTCTGTAGGACAGGAATGTATAAATAGCTAAATAATCTTGGAAGGTACTTTCTGAAATACCTTTCTCTGTGTTGGAGGATGTTGTCCAAAGTAAAGTGTCAGATTAGATGACTGGGCTGGAACATAAGGATATGCATCAGAACAGATGGATCATGCTTGCTAGAATTCAAGTCTTCTTTTCTTGTGCATTATCTGCATTTGGCTTGAAAATATTTTTTGCTAATAAAAATGTATGGTACCTTTTGAGTACTACTACCTATGACAAAATGGTTTTAAAATAACTTAAAAATAACGTAAGTCACAGAAGAAATTTACCAGTGAACGATAACTAACTATAGAGTAGACAGAGCTATTGTCTCACATCTCACCTATTCTCAGATGGCCTCATGTCATTTTACTATAGAAACATTTCCATTGATGATAAAAATAGGATCATCTGTGAAATAAAGACAATCTAAGAAGGGCATAGGAAAATTTGGCTCTATGTAAATGGCTTATAAAGGGATATTTTACAAACTGGATTTTTCTAGCTAAAAAGACAAAAACCAGGGCTAAGTACAGACAGTCAAAAAGCCTGAGGCTGAATTGATTCAGTCTTTGCAGGTTAGTTTAAGCTGCAAAAATTGAACCAATAAGCAAATGAACAGACAATCACTTTTGATTCAGGACATGCAGCCACATCCCTAAAGTGGCTCAGGCCAGAAGCTGGGAGGCACTAGAGCATGGCTCTCTGGCATGTAGCCAGCATGGGCTGTGTGTTTGCTTCCTCTTTATGCTGCTCCTGAGGTCTCTGGGATTTGCAGTTCAGATTCACAGCAGCAGGACTCTGCAGGGTTGCTCATCACTGCCTGTTTCCAGGTGCCTCTGGGATTTGTAGTCCACAGTTGCAGCCAGCACTGAGTAAGCCAGAAGGTCAGGGCAGCTGTGTACTATGGGAAAGGTGAGTTTAACCCCCCTCCTTGGCTTCAGACCCCAACCAGGGTTTGCTGGGGGCGGGGCAGTGAGCCAGCCCTCATTGCTCCATCTAGGGAGCAGAGAGATTGGGCCAGCCCTACTCTCTAGAGCAGACAGCTCTCAGTTCAGGGATCTACCTCCACAGGATGGGGTCATCAATTATAAAGATACAGCTTAAGCCTGTTAAATTTTATGGTGGAACTTTAACACAAGGGAAGGGAAATTGCCAAGCTAGACTCAGTAGCTCAACTCAGCTCCCACAAACTGGCCAAGAAGAAAATTCTGCAAGTCATTTCCTGTGCCTCTTACAGGAA